CCCACCTGGGCACTTTCCAAGGACTGAGGGTGTCAGGAGCCTCCGATCGCCCAGGGCCAGCTCGAGGGGCACGTCCTCTCGGTGACCTCCTCCAAACCAGGTCTCTGAATTAATTTAATGGAAGAAACGCAGCCACCAGGGACCACAGTGTGCAGGGGGGCGAATCCCACCCACGTTCTGACAGGAGCAGCTCAGGATGAAACACAGAGAGGAGACCGGCCTTTGCCGCCTTCCCGTCCAGAGAACATGTTCCTTAAATATGCAGGAGGGTCACGCCTCGTGGCGCCTGAGAGAGAGAAAGAGAGAGAGAGAAATGCTTGCGGACCACACGTATCCGGGGCCGCCGTGCACTAGCGAAAACCCCACGGTGATTTAACGTTTATTTATTTTTTGGGGACAGAGAGAGACAGAGCATGAATGGGGGAGGGGCAGAGAGAGAGGGAGACACAGAATCAGAAACAGGCTCTGAGCCATCAGCCCAGAGCCCGACGCGGGGCTCGAACTCACGGACCGCGAGATCGTGACCTGGCTGAAGTCGGACGCTTAACCGACTGCGCCACCCAGGCGCCCCCCCACGGTGATTTAATGTGTGAGAACAGGGAGACCCAATTTTCTCCAGGAGAATCGCCTTGTAGGCATCCACGGCTCCGAAGGCGATATTTTCAAAGAGACACGTTTTTCCGTGTTAAATGAGGAAGTGACTGATACAGCGACGCATTGGGCCCGTGACCACTGTCGGGGAAGCAGCCGGGGCCACCTGGTGGGTTGCCCACTTCAAACAGAGCCTTGTGGTTCTGTCCTTCGCTAGGCCAGAGTTAAGGGGATTAATTCCAGCCGGAACAGGTAAAAAAAAAAAAAAAAGTCAAAAGAAAACGTCACACGGTAAATTATTTGACTTCCTCCGACGGGAGTCTGAACGGCTTCTCTGCCTGGGGCACAGGGTTCCAAGTGCGCTGGTTCCACAGGAGACGCCACCCCGTAGGACACACGTGAGGCAGAACAGTGGGATGGTCTCCTTAAACGAGATTCAGCTTCTCGCTCTAGGCGGGGCCTGCACAGAACCATAGGGTGTGGGTCAGGGTCCGCCATGTTTTAACAAAGCTCAGTGCCTATGCAGTGGGGCTGGGTGTGGGGTCCTGAGACAGGAGGCCGCTTCAGGGGCCACGCTGGCTGGAGTCAGGGGGAGCCCCAGAATCCCCACCGAGGGGTCTGGGCCCTGCTGCTGGCCTGTCCCCCACGCAGGGGCACTGTGAACCCCCACCCCATCTGGGGCAGGCCCGCTATAACGGGTAAGCCGGGGTCACTGCAGAGCTCATGCCTGGCAGGCTGACACTCACCGGCCCGCAGAGCGCTGGGCAGTGTCACCCCCGTCCTCTGTGCCTGACCCCTGCCATATTACAGCGGTCCATCGGCCACCTGCTGTTATCTAGGTGACCTGGGTCCCCCCCACCGAGAAGCAGCCTGTGCACTCCAAGGCAGCCACGCGCTGGGAACCTCGTTTGTTCTCAGAGACCTCGTCTCTTCATTTGTGAAATTCCTCCTACAAATGGACCTCAGGGTGGGAGCGGCCATCCGCCATCTCAACGGGGGCAGAAGCTCGGAGCCTGAAGGGCCGCGAGAGGGCACAGCCCCCCGTCACCAAGCGCCCCCTCCATTATCCCACTGCATTGTCCCAACAGCTACCCGGTGCCCCCACGGGTGGAGGTGTCAGGGGAGCATAGGGTGGGAGCGGGGATGCTATCCCGTCGGACCTCTTATATGCGTGAATATCACGTAATTACGGGGACGACTTCGTTATCACGTACGAGCATTATGTTCTTGTTACATTGCTAGGAACGTGGTGACATTATTATTTATTATGATTATTAAAATAATAGAGTGAAAGGACACCAAGCCTTTGTCCGGGCAGACAGCCCAGATGCAGAATACAAGCGTCGTCTCACGGGGAAAACCACCTGTGCCCCGTCTGTGTGCACGGCCATCCCCACCCCGACCATGTTACTCCAGGCCCATCTCTGGGGTGGACGGAGGCCTGAGTTTGGGAGGAGGGAGGGGAGAGGGAGGGGGGCTGGGCCAAGCTTCTCTGATTCCAGAATTGCTCGTACTGGTGTTACGGGCCCTGTCAGTTGACGCCAACTGGGTCCCTGCAAGTTTTTGGACCTCAAAACCACCGCGCCCACACCCCCTCCACAAAACAAACACGAAAGGGTGTTGTCGTATCTTTGGCAAAACGGGCCAGTGGAGGGATGCGTTTCAAGCCTGGAACGCGGAGAACGGGGAGCCGTCCTGAAGGAGGCGGGCGGGCCTGGCGGGTGGGTCCGGCGTAGAGCTGGCACCCGCCGTGTGATCTGGCGCCCGAGCCCCGGTTCCATTTGCACCAGCCGTGTGGGGCTGGTGGGCTGGCTCAGGCACGCTGAGCCCCAGATTCCTTGTTTGTCAAATAGGGATGATAATAGTGTGTGTTTCACTGGGTTTTATGAGGGTAAAAATGAAACGATGCATAGAAAGCGGCTTTGCGCGGAGCCTGCCGCATAATAGATGCACAGTGAGAGCTGGCGATCGTCGGGAGAAGGGCTGCAGAACCGGATATTTAATCTAGAAATAGAAGCCTTGGGTTGGCACCCAGGGCTGCCACCAAGTCCCCAAGAAACGGGGTGTGGAAGCGAGCATGACGTGGCCCAGCTCCCGGGGGCCACGTGCCGTCCGTGGAACTCGGAGGCGGCAGTTTGGGTTCGATCCACGGACCTTTCGGCGACACGAGGCCACATTGCATTCAGAGCACACTTTCGAATTCAGGGATTTGGGGGTTGGCGCATGTGGAAGCGGGAAGGACTGGTTGCAAGCAAGTTTCAGAATTCTGAGAACACTTTTTTTTTTACAATAGTAAAACAAATTGATTTTTCACTTACATTTTCAATTAAAGTTAATTGGATTTTTTACATGACAGTGAAAGCCCTGCCACCCCACCTTCTTGCTGATGTCTCTGCCAAGTGGATCCGTTTCTGCCCTGACCGGATGTCCGTATGTACTCAGGAAACCGCCGTTCCACGTTCTGGAAACAGTGGTCTTTCTGGACATGTGCACCTGCCATGATACCCTGTTCCTCCCCGTCCACAGCGACCAGTATCTGCTCTCCACACGGTGACCCTATGAGCCAGGATTTCCCCCTGAATGACAGGGCCACTCCTGTGCCCACTGTTGTGGCAAACATTCATTTCAATATTTGCTGGACAAAGGACAGGATGCCTCTGTGGTGCCTTTGGGGAGGCGTGTGGCCCATGCCCTGGGAGCCTACTCGGGCTTGTGTGGGAACGCTGGAGTGTGTCCCAGGGCCGCTCATTCGGCCATAAGACACGCTCGTGTAGAGCTGGGCTGGCTGCTGTGGGGTCCCTGTGCGGCTGGACATGAGAGAGAGGACCTAAGGTCGGGGCACCTGGGTGACTCGGTTGAGCACCCAACTTTGGCTCAGGTCATGATCTCACAGCTCGTGAGTTTGAGCCCCGTGTCAGGCTCTGTGCTGACAGCTCAGAGCCTGGAGCCTGCTTCGGATTCTGTGTCTCCCTCTCTTTCTGCCCCTGCCCTGCTCGTGCTCTCTCTCTCTCTCTCTCTCTCTCTCTCTCTCTCTCTCTCTCTCTCTCAAAAATAAACATTAGGGGAAAAAAAGAGGAGCTAAGGTCTTCTAACCCTATGAGGGGGGCTAAACCCTACGAGGACAAAAAAGCTTTCAGCTGGACCCTGGCTCCACCTAGAGATCCTCCTACACCCCCCTCATTAGCCATGATTAACACTCTTGCTGAACGCGTGTTTGTGTTACGGGCCCTGGCGTTAAAGGTTAATTGACTCAGTAATAACTTAATTATGAAATGTGCATTACAAGGAATTATATAACCGGTCCTTCACTTCATGACTCCTCTCAGCCTCTCTCCACGTGTCCCCTGAGTGCCTTTCAACGCTGATGCTGCTGACGGTTCCCACTAAGAGGACCACAGGCCAAGAGGGGCCCATCTCTCGCCACCGTAAAAGGCGCCGAGGAAAAATTCGAATGGAGCCTTAATAACGATGGGATGGGAACACAGAGACAACGGTGGGGAATGCAGTTAATTAGAGAGCTGAGGGAGCCTCAGAGGCTCGTGCAGGTATGAGTTTTGGCCGCCGCACGTGTGGTTAAAAATAGCAAATTAAAAACCGAACACACGGTTAAGAAAGTAAGGGCAGCTTGTGTAGCTTGCGGGTCCCCACGAGGAGCCCTGGGCGGGACGGGGTGAGGGCTCCATGATCGGGGCCGGGTCATGTGTGTGCCCAAGAGAGGGCGTGTGTGCCTGCCGGTGGTCCGGCGAGGTCAGAACTGAAACGCTGTCCTACTCAGAACTCTGGCTCGTTCCACGGAGCCACGAGGCTCCGTTCCGGCACTTTGGTGGAATTTTACCGTGACCTGTGTCTCTGAGTCCTGAGAGCAGTGACAACCAAAGCTCCTGTAAAACAGCCTGCCCAGCAAACCGCCAAGAAGGTGCTAATGATAGTTGCACGGAGGCCGCGGGCTCACGGGGCCCCACAGGCTGATCCTACAACAGCCCCCGACGCTGGGGCGTCGCCCCACAAATTCCAGTACAGAGCTGGGAACGTGAGTCCAAAACATGTCAGCTGCACAAAGGGACCCGCCTGCAGGGCCAGGAGGCCTGTGAGCCAGCCGTGAGCCCAGTCTGGGGACAGCAACGTTGTCGGGGGGCCCCCACTGCATTTCTACAACAGTGACCCCATCCCACACCAGTGATGGAGGACATGTGGGCCGCCAACAGGGCGCAGGGCTGGTCACAGATCAGAGCATGAAGAATATTGCAGACTAGGCTTGAATTTTCTTCTTTAATGTCAGAGATGAGGAAGTGTGTGTGTGTGTGTGTTAAAAACCTGGCTGGAGAGTAAACCTTCAAAAGGGGAGGGAGCCGGGGGGGGGGGGGGGGGGGGCCAGGGGGGAGGGACCTGTATCGTCCAGGACCAGCCGAGTTGCTCTGTGACCACGAACATCCCCTGATTCCAGATGGCTCATCGCTGTGACGGTCTGTTTCTCGCTCACCATTGAGGGTCTGGGGGACTCTCCAGAACAGCTGTCCTCCACACACCCCCAAAAGTGTCACAGCACAGGAAGAGAGAGCCTAGAGGAGACCCCGCATCAGCTCTGCAATGCCTTCACGTTCTGTTTCCACTCGGGCTTTGTTGGCCAAGGAATGTCGTGTGGCCGTGTCGGACCTCAAGGGGACAGGGTTCAGGACAGTGGGGAGACCCAGAAATGGGACGTTTTCTATAGACACGGAGAGTCACCTTTCCTAGAGACTGAGGCGCCCACCATGAATGGATCACCACGAACTTCTCCCCGAGAGCACACAGTCTACTCCCCTCCCAAATCAATAAGAGAGTGTTAAAATCACACGTGTGCACGCACACACATACACACGCACTCTGAACCTTCTATAGTGTGGAAGAGCCCGGTCTTAGGGTCAAACAGACCTGAATCCAAGTCCTGCCTGGTCCCCACCAGCAACTTCTAAACCTCGGTTCTGTCATCTCTCCCACGGGGATAATGACAACCACCTCCTCCGGCTGTGGTGACGAGTCGGCGAGACAACGTAAGTGAAATAGTCGTCATGTGTGCTCCAACAGTGAGTTGTTATTAGCTCTTACCGTTGCTGGTGTTAATGACACATAAGTGACATTCCGCTCAGGAACGTATTTCAGGTCCAGAGAACGGCGCGGAGCACGATTTCGGGAACCCTTGCGCCAACCACAAGGTGCCGGCTCAAGTGGTGGGTCTGACGCCCCTGTCTGTGGCTGCTCAGCAGACCCCCAAGTCGTTTGCTGTTTCCACGCAGTGCACAGATTGGATCGTTTCGCGAATAGCTACCGGTCTCCGGTGTCCCACCCCAGCCCGCCACCCCTCCAGGGCCCGCGCGCACTCCCCCACCCCGCTGCTCCGGTTTGCTTTGTTCAGTGGAGTCTGGAGGGGACCGACCATTCTTCGTCGACGCAGGTGCTGGCCCCTCACACCTCCTGACGCCCCGGATTTGGCTGCTCTGCCAGCCTCAGCCCCGGTGGGGCCCGCAGAGCCACGGCCAACCCCCCACCTGTGAGTAAGAAACACATGTGTGGGGGAGGGGTGAGAGCCAGGATGATCTTGGGGTTGTTTGTTACCGGGTCAAAAGCTGACTGATACACTGAGAACGTGAGGCACCTGGGTGGCTCAGTCTGTTAAGTTCCAGCTGTTGATACTGGCTCAGCTCTAACTTCGTGGGATCGAGCCCCACGACATCCGCTTTGGGTTCTTGCTCTCTCCCTCTCTCTGCCCCTCCCCCACTTGTTCTCTCTCTCTCTCTCTCTCTCTCTCTCTGTCTCTCTGTCTCTCTCTCTCTGTCTCGCTCTCTCTCTGTCTCTCTCTGTCTCTCCCCCCACCCAAAACAGATAAATAAACTTTAAAAAGAAATACACTTAGGGGCTCCTGGGTGGCTCAGTCAGTTAAGCATCCAACTCCGGCTCAGGTCATGATCTCATGGTTTGTGGGTTCAAGCCCCATGTGGGGCTCTGTGCTGAGAGCTCAGAGCCTGCAGCCTGCTTCGGATTCTGTGTCTCCCTCTCTCTGTGACCCTCCCTCCCACCCTCTCTCTCTCTCTCTCAAAAAATTACTACAAACTTTAAAAAAATTTTTTTGAAGAAATACACTTAGAATGTGCCCAGGCCTTGGGCCTATGGCCGGATCACAGACTTACGCTCGACTTTAGCATCGAATGAGACAGATTCGTTAATGCAGAGCGGTGTCTCCACTGTTGTAGATTGAAAAATGGCTGGTTCAGAAATACTTGTGTTATTGGTTTAAGATCAGGCTCTCAGCACACAGGCGTAATGTTCTAAAATAATATTACAGTCAGGACTAAATCCTAATGTACTACACGGAACTAATCTGTTTCTCATTAAAATTATGGATTAAATTGTAATCCCCACATTTCTAGAAATAAGAAACACAAAGTCTTTGTACCCTTGTTTACGTTATCGTAAGGTTTGTATTTAGCCTTGAAAAAAAAGAAATCTCATTTAGTGCAAGAATTCAGACTTATTTATTCTGTCATTACGTCGATTGTTAAATCTTTATTAAAGGATTTTAAAGAAGGGAAAACATTTCCTACAGGTCTGGTCGGTTCTCTGGCACTTCTGGGCCTGCCCCTGCAGATTAAAAATTCTTCCGTTCTAGTAAGATTTGCAGTTAAGAGCCGAAGCCACGTGAGTGGAAAGAAAGTAAATGGCCATATTAGGTTTTCTGGAAGTCTATTATGGGTTCATTTAGATGACACAGATACGTTATTCATGGGGGCAACCGAGGGAGAAAAAGTTAAATAGAATTTGTCACCATCTGTATATGAACCAGGCATATGACCACTGACACGTGAGGGGCATACGTCCTTTTTCTGGTCGTGCCTCTCCCGGTTTGAAAAGAGTTAAGTCATTGAAATCGGCTCATTTGTCTGTGGAATGTGACCTGTCCTGGGTCAGGGGAGGCCCCGGGCTCCCGGGAAGGCAGTTACACCAGCTGAGATGTGAAAGTTAAGATCCCGGAGGAAGGTATGGGTGGCCCAGCTGGGGCGGCCGGGTCCTGGTGAGGGTCTAAAGTCGTTGGTTCCTGACATCGTGCCTTCAGTGCCCTCTTTCTGGCACTTTCTAGATGACCCGTCATGTCCTGCTGGCCTCCCCTTCCCTGGGAATCCCACCCACCCGGCTCTGCCTTGTCCTGGATTGGGAAACCAAGGAGTGGGAAACAGAGAACAGAACTGAGTCAGAGCTGTGGCCACTCCAAATAACGACGCGTGGCGAAAGCCAGCTCAGAAACAAACCGGAGAGAGCCCGTACTGCACGGCTCCATTTATTTAAAAGTCTCGAAAATACCAGCAAGATCTACGGCGATAGGAAACAGGCGGTCGCCCGGGGTCGGGGTTATGCGAGGGCACTTTGAGGGTGAGGGGCAGGCTCGTGACGGCTGCGTGGACGTGCACCCCTGCTTCTCACGTGGGGACGATTTTGTGGCTCATGTGACACTATCCGGAGACATTTTCCCTGTCACAGCTGGGGGGCTGCTAGCAGGTTGAGGCCAGGGATGGTGCTGAAAATCCTGCAAGGCACAGGGCAGCCCCTGTAACAAAGAATTCTCCAGCCCAACTTGCCGGTGGTGCTGAGGTCGAAACCCTGGGGTGTGGATACGTTGAAACGTACCAAGTTGTACGCTTTGCAAGTGGGCCGTTCAGGGGCGCCTGGGGGGCTCAGTCGGTTAAGCCTCTGACTTCGGCTCAGGTCACGATCTCACGGTGGCTCGTGGGTTGGAGCCCCGCGTCGGGCTCTGTGCTGACAGCTCGGAGTCTGGAGCCTGTTTCGGATTCTGTCTCCCTCTGTCTCTGCCCCTCCCCTGCTCGTGCTCTCTCTCTCTCTCTCTCTCTCTCTCTCTCTCTCTCTCTCAATAATAAATAGGCAATAAAAATTGTTTAAATAAATGGGCAGTTCATGTATCTCAATTCCGCGTCAATAAAGCTGCAAAATGAAAGTGCAGGCTGGCCGCTTGCTGGCTGGGCGACAGTGGAATCGTCTCGTCACCGCTCTGAGCCGGTTTCCCCTCTGCAGCAAGGGGGAGGGGGGACGACATTTACCCCCCAGGGCCGCTGGGCATGAATTGAGACCCTCAAACGCAAGCTGTCCCCCGTCTCAGGCACGTGGAACCGACTTGAGCCTCCAGGGGAGGAACGTGACAGGTCATCCATGGAAATGACATTTCAGCTGGGCTCCAGGCCTTAGAAAATCAGTGGACCAAGTGAAAACAACCTCTGAGTTTTTAGGAGACAGTCCCAGGCCCGTGGGGTTGGGGTGGTGGGACTGTCACGTCACCTGTAGGTAACAAGGACTTGGGAACGACCTTGAGGCCTGGCTCTCGGTCCGGCCCCCGCAGGAAGTATGACCCTGCTATGATTTATGTAAAAGTGCATATGCTGGGTTGGTTTTTTTTTTTTTTTTTTCTTTTTTTGGCTAAAGGCTATTGTTCACTGGGCTTCAGCCACCAAACCACTCAAGAAAATTGAAGAGACTCGAAGGTCTCAGGAAGCCCACCTCTCCCAGGCCACCCCCGAGTCCGGGACCCCGGAGGCCCATGTCTGCAATTCCACTGGAGACCGAGGCATCGCGGCACCATCCCTGCCGGGCCCCCCTCGCTCCGAATCAACTGCACCTTGAACAGGAAGGTGAACAGGAGAGCAGCTTAGGAGACAGGAGTGGAGAGCCCTCAATCAGCTCTTTGTTGGCCTGGGAGGTGATGCTAGAACACAACGCCTGCCTTTGTGTGGGTGCCGATCCGGTTCCCGGACCCGTCGGGATCCAGCGGTGGGGGAAGCGGGGTTACTTTCCCGGCTGTGCCGCCCGGTGGCATCCCGGGGCACCCCGAGCGTGCGAAGAGCTGCGTGTGCCCGGGACACAGGTGGCAGGTGAAGCCGTCCCCTCCAGGCAGACCTCCTTGATGTTCCAGGCTGGGTGGCATCCCTGGGCACCACCCACCCCCCGTTGTCCCGCCCATGGCTCTGACAACAGGGCCGGCCTAGTCTGGCGGGGTCCCTCTCCCCAGCTGGATGGAGGGAGAGGCCGTATCTGGGTCACTCTGAATCCTCAGTACTGGGTTCAGCGCCTGGCCCACTGACGTCCTCAAGTGCTGCGTGCTGAGTAAATGCGCTCAGGAAGGGTCGAGCGCATCTGGCTTTCTTAAGGGGATTTTATAGCCTCAAGTATCAGCTGGTGGATGGCCAGCCGCCCGGAGAGGGGATGCCAGCTTCTCAGCGCTCCACTCAGCCACCAGTGTCTCCGGGCCCTTCTAGGACAAGAGGTGCCATGGAAGCTGACGGGTGCCAGCTGCCTGGCTCAGAACAGGCCGGGCTGGTCGGGTTGGTTGTGTGGGGCAAGAATCAGGAAGAAGGGGCTGTTTTTCATAATCCAGCTTGTTTATCCAACAAACAATAAAACAGGGCACGATTGTTCGGAGATGCCGGACGGAGTCCATGAGAGAGACCCCACCGGACCAAGAGGTCTGTTCAAGAATGTGCAGAGCCTGGGAAACACAGAGGGGGGCCAACTTCGAGGGCACGGGGATGGGCCCAGGGCCGCGGTGTGCCCGAGCGGCTGGCACTGGCTCGGAAGAGTAGACCGCGCATTTTGTCCCAACTCTGTGGCCAACGACGTCACGGTGTGTGAGGATCAATTTTATGTGCCAACCGCACCGGGCCACGGCGGATGTGAGCACGTTTCTGGATGAGATTAGCATTTGAGCGGGTAGACTGAGTCAAGCAGATGGTCCTCCCACGAACCTGAGTGGGTGGGCCTCGTCCAATCAGTTGAGGCGAGGGCCTGACGAGAAACAAAAGGCTGAGGAGGGGGAAATTCTTTGTCTCTGCCTGTGTTTGGGCGGGGACTTCGGGTCCCTGACTTTGAACTCAGATTTGGACTGGAACTTGCACCATTAGCTCTCTTGGGTCAGGACTTCTAGTATCTGCACGAGCTAATTCCCCATAATTATTGCCTTCTCACTCACACACACACACACACACACACACACACACACACACACAAGCCCTGTTGGTCCTGCCTCTCTGCCGGCTGCTGACTAACACCCTGTAGTACCTGAACTTGTCCACGCTGCGAGGATTTACACCACGGGAGACAGCAAGTGCCACAGATAAGCCCCCAGCACCACATCTCCCGCCACTGCTGATTGTCAAACATTTACCAGCAGTATGCCGTGACCCCCACCGTGGCCCAGGGAATGTCCCTGCCTCCTAGAGACTTCCCCAGGCCAAGCAAGGGCCACAAGCCCCTGTCTAGGCTCCCATCTGTGGTCCCCGACTCCTGAAATAGACCCCGGCTGTACCTGGGGCCACGCAGCACACACAGGAGATGTCCTTTCCTCTGGGGCCAAGGTGCCCCTTGCCTGTGTGCATACACTCTGCTCTGTCCGTGCTGGTCCCTTACGCGGTCCCCGTAGCATCTCACGGCCCCTGACTGCGTGACCACCTCTTACTCCTCCCTGTGTCCCCAGTGCCAGGGACAGAGCTGGATAACGGCAGGTGCTCAGGGCACGATGAGTGATGGAGCCCTTCCGCCTAGGACGGTCTGAGTCAAAGAACGTCCTCCACAGAGATAAACTGGAAACCCACACTGTGCCCTTGCCTCCCGAGGAAGAGCTGCTAAACCGTCCACGTTGGAAAAGACCCTGTTAGCTCCAGGTTCCCGGGGCCACAGAACTCACCCCACTTCGTTTAAGAAAAAAAGCTGAGTTATTTCTTGATTCGCGAATCTGGAAAAGTCAAAGGTGCATCAGGCCAGCGGGCCCCCAGGTTCGGTTGTGTCTGTGTGCGTCTCGTTTCGCCGCGCTCGGATGAGCTCCCTCCCGTCATTCCGTCCTGGGGGTTGCCACCCGAAATGGGTTTGTATCAGATACGATTACGTCAGTGTCAGATGCCATAATCCCTGCTGGGCGGTGGTCACCCCCCCTTCTGCTGCTGTAGATGGCTAAGATGTTGGGGTCACGAGCTCCTGTCCCAGGCGGCTCTGGCGGCCATAACTAAGCACCCACACGCTCGTTTCTCGAAGTTCTGGAGGCTGAGAGGCCCAAGATGCCTGCTGACCTGGTAAGAATCTGTTCCTGCTACGGGGACGGCCACGTCCTTGCTGTGGCCTGACGTGGTGGAGACAGGCAGAGATCTCTCTCTTCCTCTTCTGCTAAGGCCACCATCCCATTGGCCAAGGGCCCACCTTTTGGACCTCATGTAACTCAAGTTACCCCCCAACGGGCCGTCTCTCCAAATACAGTCCCACGGGAGATTCGGGGCTCAACGTATCAGTTTGAGGGGCACAGTCAGTCCGCGGAAGACCCACAGCATAACTTCCTGTGTGCTGACCGTGCCCCCAGTGGAATGAGCATCTCTCTCCCCGAGACTTCCAACGAGATCCCTGAACCCAAGGCCCCTTTGCACACGTGACCGTGATCAGACGCCTGTGCATCTCTGAACCGATTGCTGTTTGGACGCCCAGACACCCGCCAGGCCAAGCAGGGACCCCCTGCCGACCTGTGCTGCCAGGGAGAGGTCAGCCCGTGGGAACCGTAAGCATGGAGGGTCCGGCCAGGCTGCTTCCGTAGGAGGACATGACGTGCCCTTTCCAGGAAGAAGACTGGATTGGGGCAGCCTAAACCAGCACACCTCTGTCACACGTTTATGTTTTCCAAGCCCCGAGTAGGAACTCCAGGGTTCCTGAGAATGGACGAGACCCGGGCCCTGCGGGACCCCCCAGGGGAGCTCTAAAAAGAAGACGTGGAAACAGACAGAGCGGACGAGGCAGCGAGCCTGAGCTCTGGTGGAGACAGCGGCACGCGGCCCAGGGAAGGACGCACCCAGCCTGGGTCGTCTGCGTCCCTCCCCACCGTCCGACGGCGGGGTGGCCCCCCATCGTCCCCTTATCCTGGGGGCTCTGGAGGCAGGGGCTGTGCGAACCACCCTCCCCTATACTCAGCGTAATTCGGAGAGCCCTACTGTCCGCTCCCACCCCGTGCACCGTGTCAGGCCCACGTGTGGGGTACACGAGCTTTTTTCGCTCGACGGTGTTACTTATTATCACGCGCTCCTGTTGAACGGCCATCACCCCTTCCGTCCGCAGGACTTGCTCATCCCCCAGACGGAAGCTCGGTCCCCGTGACACGGCGACCCCCATTCCCCTCTCCCAGCCCCTGGCACCCGCCGTCCACGCTCGGTCTCTGTGACTCTGACTCCTCCAGGGGCCTCGTGTACGTGGGATCGGACAGTATCCATCCTTCTGTGTCTGGCTGCTTCTCACTCAGCACCGTGTCCCCGAGGTCCGCCCCTGCTGGAGCGGGTGCCAGGATTTCGTTTCGTTTTAAGGCTGAACAATATCCCAGGGTGTGGACGGACCACATTGTATCTGCCCATCCACCGACGGATACTTGGGTTGCTTTTACGTTTTAGCTGTGGTGACTAGGGCTGCTGACTGTGGGCGTGCAAACATCTTTGCGCAAACGCCTCTTCACTGTAACCCCTGGAAAACAGCAGGGAGGTTCCTCAACACACTGTAGGTAGAACCGCCCTATAATCCAGCAATCACACGACTGGGCGTTTGCCCAAAGGATACAAAGACACTAATTCAAAGGGATACACGCACCCCAGAGTTCATAGCATGACTTACAGCAGCCAAATTATGGAAACAGTCCATTCGTCCGCGGACGAATGGATAAAGATGTGGCACACACACACACACACACACACACACACACACACTGGAATATTATTCAGCTATCAAAAATAACGAAATCATGGGGCACCTGGGTGGCTGAGTCGGCTGAGTGTCCGGGCGGCTCAGGTCACGATCTTGAGACTCGGGCTCTGTGCGGACAGCTCAGAGCCCGGAGCCGGCTTCACGTTCTGTGTCTCCCTCTCTCTCTGCCCCTCCCCTGCTCAGGCTCTGTCTGTGTGTGTCTCTCTCTCTCTCAAAAATAAAGAAACATTAAAAAATGTTTAAAAGAATGAAATCTTGGGGCACCTGGGTGGCTCAGTCGGTTGAGCGTCCAACTTTGGCTCAGGTCACGATCTCACGGTCCGTGAGTTCGAGCCCCGCGTCGGGCTCTGTGCGAACAGCTCAGAGCCTGGAGCCTGTTTCGGATTCTGTGTCTCCCTCTCTCTCTGCCCCTCCCCCGTTCATGCTCTGTCTCTCTCTGTCTCAAAAATAAATAAAAAAACATTAAAAAAAAAAGAATAAAATCTTGCCATTTGGGACAACACGGATGCAGCTAGGGCATATAACGTTAAATGAGAGAAGTCCGTCGGAGAAAGACAAATGTTGTATGATTTCACGCATATGCGAGATTTAAGAAACAAAACAAGCAAGCAAAGGGGAAAAAAAGAAAGAGAAAGAGACAAGCCAAGAAACCGACTCTTTCTTCAACGGCTTTTCATTTTTTTTAAATTTTATTTAAATCCAAGTTAATGAACGTGTAGCCTAATCATGGTTTCAGGAAGGAAACAGACTCTCAACTGCAGAAGCCACATTGATGGTTACCAGAGAGGCGGGGGTGGGGAGGGTGGGTCTTAAACAATTTTTAAAAATTAACAAAAAACAAAAAGTAAAATCCACCAAAGAGGGGAAAAAAGACAAACCACAAATATGTCTTCGAGACCCTCCCTGCTTTCAATTCTTTGAGTATATATTCACCCAGAGGTGGGATTGCCAGATCCCATGGTAATTGGTTTTTATTTTTTTTTAAGGTGTCACCACAGGAGTCTCCTTGGTGGCTGCTCCGTTCTACAGTCTCACCAACCGTGCACGATCTCTCCACGTCCTGGCCGACACGTGGCATTTTCTGCCTTTCTCATCGCGACCTTCCTAACGGGCGCCAGGCCACACTCACGCTGAACGGGCTGCCGCAGGCGCACCTGACTCTGGAGTGAGTTCCTGCCTGGTTCCCTCCACTCTTTCACGGTGTTTTGCTAACCCAGCCGCTGACTGCCGCGCACCTGAGTCCCACAGGTGGAGCTGGGTGGCTCCTGGGCATAGGTCCCTACTGAGGAGGATGCAGGGACCGTGTCTCTCCAGCGAGCCTTTAGGAGCCCGATCGCTGGGTCAGTCCGGCCGACTGCTGGATCGCAGACCTGCACGGTCCTGCCCCGTCTTTTCCAGAAAGGCACGCTCGGATCTGCTCCCCCACCCCCGACCCCGCACAGTGGGCTGGAGGGCTCCTGCCTCTCCACGTCTTGCCCGCGCCTGCCATCAGCCAAACCCTTGAACTTCTACAGCTCTGTGGGGCGTCAGGGGAATCCCCGTGTTTTGATTTGCGTTTCTCTGGCTCCCGGTGGATTCGAGCAGGTCGGCACTGATGTGTGCACGTGCCGTCTCCCCTTCGGTGAGTTGCCCGACGGGGTTGCCTTTTCCCCTTTACGGATTTGCCTTAGAGCATCATCTCTGCCACTTGTCACGGAAACAGGGGAACACGGGTTACTTTTGACTGAAAGCAGACGTGCCGTGACAGGCACATCCTGTGCGCATGGGAGGATCGGGCCCCGGACGGCCACGGCGTTCCCAGGCACGGCGTGGCGAGCTTGGCCTGTGGCCTCCGACATGCAGGCTTGGAGGCCGGGTGGGCTGGGGAGGTGACACGGCGCCCACGTTTACTGTTCCGGTGGAGCCGTGGGCCTGACCTTTGACATGCTCTTTGCACAGTCCGTCGGGGGTCCGTTCAGCTGTTGCGGCAACTGATGGTGAGTAAGAGGGTGCCTGCGGTCGCCGGCGGGCAGTTGGCCCCTGCCGGAACAGCCGGGTGCGTCTGGCACTCGGGGCCCGGCTCCCAACGCCGGGGGACGCGATGCGGGATCTTTAAAGGCTGGATCTGAAAGCGACCAGATCACGGGACTCCAAAACCGTCTGTTTTCAGTGTTGGAGGCTGCAGTCTCAGTGCTGGGACGGGACCCCCACCCCCACCCCCCTCCCCGGAACACCAGCAGGTGCCTGAAGGGCTGGTCGGGGGCTGCGGTTTGGAGCAGTTGTTCCATGAGACCTGTCCCACCGGTCCGTCCCCTGTGCTCTGCCCACGGGGGACGCCGGCCACGCCCACCAGGGACGGATGGGGTCCCCGGATCAGGACCCACAGCGGACCCACCCATCCCTGAGACTGCGTTAAGCTGGGATTCCAGGATTCCCCGCTTGTCTGTTACGGGAGAAAGAGCCGATGGCAAGTCTGGTGGTGACACCCCGTCCTGCAGAGGGGAGGCTGCTGGCTCCTCCCCTCGGTCTCTGGTCCCACAAGAAATCACATCCACCACCCACCTCTCTCCGGAGCGAGCCTGCCAGACAGACAAGTTCAGCATAAGCGTGTCCCAAACACGTCGTGCCATATACTTTCACTAACAGATTAGTCATTGCTTATCCGAAAGTCAAATTTGACGGTGCATCCTATACTTAAAAAAAAAAAAAAAAAGTATAGGGGCACCTGGATGTTTCTGTCCGTTAAGCGACCAACTCTTGATTTCGGCTCAGGTCATGACCTCACAGTTGGTGAGTTCGAGCCCTGCCTCAGGCTCTGTGCTGACAGTGCGGAGCCTGCCTGAGATTCTCTCTCTCCTTCCCTCTCTGCCCCTCCCCCACTCAGGCTCTCTGTCTTTCTGTCTCTCTCTCAAAATAAATAAACTTTAAGTTAAAAAAAACTATGTCATCTTTTTTTAAATCTCTTTTTCTTATGTTTTATTTATTTTTGAGAGAGAGAGACACACACACAGAGCTTGAGTGGGGGAGGGGCAGAGAGAGAGGGGGAGACCCAGAATCCGAAGCAGGCTCCAGGCTCCGAGCCGTTGGCACAGAGCCCGACGCGGGGCTCGAACTCACGAACCGCGAGGTCATGACCGATGCCGAAGTTGGACGTTTAACCGACTGGGCCACCCAGGAGCCCCATAGGTCGTCTTTTTTTGAGTGGTTTTGGCTCACAGCAAAACTGAGCAGAGAGTAGAGAGAGTGCCCATATCCCAATACCCTCCGCCCCCCTACACGCACAGCCTCCTCCACCGTCCACGTCCCCACCAGCAAGCCACATCTGTCACAGGCCGTGAATCGCCACTGACCCAGAGTCCATGGTGGACATTGGGGTTCCCTCTTGGTGGTGCACCTTCAGTGGTCGGGACAGACGCATAATGACATGTGTCCACCTGGATGCGCGTGGGCCCGACCCCCGGCGGCCAGTGTCCCAAGAAGAGAAGAAAGGAGAAGACACACAGGAGCAGGTGACATGAAGAGGGGCCCGAGGCTGGAGGGAGGTGTCTACAAGCCCAGAAACAGCAAGGATGACACTGCCACCAGCACCCAGGAGCGAGGCCTGGAGCAGAGCCCCCCTCAGAGCGTCCGGAGGGCACCGGCCACACCGACCCGTTGGTCTCTGACTTTTGGCCCCCGGAACTGGGAGAGAGTCCGGTTCTGTTCTTTGAAGCCACACAGCTCGCTGTTGTTTGTCACGGCAGCCCCAGGACACTGGCACGGCCTGTGACGAGGGACAGGAAGTCGACACGTCAAGTGCGGGACGGCGGGGGCCCCCCCGGCAAGCGTGCGTCCTCCGGGACCGGCCCGAAACCTCTCCCCGGCGGGACTCCCTGGAATGAAACGTGCGTGCTGTTTATCACAACAGGAAAACTAAAGAACGAGGAGGGAGAGGCGGCCACACGGCACCCATAAAAATATGAAAAATGTTGTATTTCACGATTTTGCCTGTTCTGCCATCCAGACTCCGTGATCGATGAAGCCTTTTTCTTTTTTCTGCCCAGAAAGAACACGCTGTATAAGCTCGGGTTTCTAGGGACCAGAGAAGGGTAGAACGACATCGTCTCCCGCTCTCCCCCGACAGCGAGGCCAGCGGCCCCAGCTTCCCCAGCAACGGCCCCCGGCAGCATCCCAGACCCGAACTGGTGTCTGCTGACCCCGGGAGGGCTGGGCACCGTGGCTGCCAGGAAAGTAGAAGACGCAGGGGCTCACGCTGCCAGCTCAGGGAAGGTTCCGGAGAAAATGCTGGCGGCCGGGGTGAGCAAAGGCGTAGAATTCATCTGCGCCCGGGGTCTCTCCTGGAGATGAGCCTTTTTCAAGACTGCATTTTCGTCAGGAGCGTTAAGAATGTTTCAGCCTCTTGGGGCGCCTGGGTGGCGCAGTCGGTTAAGCGTCCGACTTCAGCCAGGTCACGATCTTGCGGTGCGTGAGTTCGAGCCCCGCGTCAGGCTCTGGGCTGATGGCTCAGAGCCTGGAGCCTGGAGCCTGG